AGTTTTCTCTTCCCTTAATATTTTCCCTTTGTGAACTATAATCCTTTTTAAGATGAAAATTGGTTCTAGCAAAAGATCCATGAAGCATAGTCTTCTAGGCTTTTGCTATATAACTTTCCTGTAGATTTTATTTATGGCTCTATTTTGGCACAAGACTTTGGGGGCACAATGTATATGAGACCATCGATCATGTGTACAAGTTAACTTCTGTAGATGTTATATTGTTATCCATGTTAAATGTTTTTGATTTGAAAAGGGGTATTAAAAGAAATAGTTTTCCATATGTATTTTAATTTCCTTAGAACATAAATATTTTTACTAATTCCTAAACATGATGCTTTTCCAGCTACAATAACAGTTTATTTATTACTTTCTAAATCTTTCTTCCTAACAGCAAACATTAGACTATTTATGCATAAATCAAAATGAAAAAAACAGTCTAGGTGTATTATATGATGCTTTTATATTTTATTAAGAACATGTTTTCTATAATTGAATGCATATTTGTGATTGCAATAATTGAGTTAGACAGAAAAGATGGCAGATTAGTGAATACAATAAAGAGCTGTCTGAATAATACCACCAACTAGAAATGATTAAAAACAAAAGGATGGAAAAAATAAGAATGGTTCTTTAAAATACAACATTAAAGGATTGCTTTTAAATTGGTTCTACTTCTAGAATATGCATAAGAGAGTGTGAAAGCAGCATCTCTTACTGCTCTAAATCAATGATTCTCATTTGGAGTTGGCCTTACCTCTCTCAGGGAACATTGGTAGAAAGCATGTCACAATTTGGGTAAAAGGTGTGCTAATGGAATTTAATGGATAGAGATCTGTTAGGATGCTATTAAATATCTTAAATGTATAGGATAGCTTCTGAAACAAAGAATTATTCTGATCCAAAATGTCAACAGTCCTGAAGTTGATATATCCTGCTCCCAATATAGTTATTTGTATCAGTCACATAAATTATCTTTTTCCCCCTTAACCACAATAACTACACTAAGAGTTGCCTCTGAGGCTACCATATACAATTTCCCCAAAGGCATAATAACAATTGGAATATAGGGATTAAATAAATTCAAATATTCATTATGGTTAAGTAGATACTTACCAATGTTTGAAAATATAAATGATACAATAACGCCTAACAAATTACTTAATTTATTTAATTATTCACTGAAATGTCATGGTAATTCTTTTTTAATTGAATGGTATGAAAAGCATACCAAAAGATGAACAGAGAAAAGTAAGACAATGAATGGTAATTCTTGAATTACCATTCATTGTCTTACTTTTCTCTGTTCATCTTTTGGTGAAATGATGAAGTAAATAGTCAAAGCCCAAAAGGTAAGAGAATGGAGGAAGGAGAAATTAGGAGGCTCCATTAACAAGTTGAATTCTCCTTTTTTGCTTAGTTGAAAATGGATTGCTTTTTGTGTTTGCTATGCTTTGAATGTCCCCCAAAATTTATGTGTTGAAACTTAATCCTCATTACAGTAGTATTGAGAAGTAGGTCTTTTTCAGGTATGATTAAGTCATGAGGGCACACTGCTCAATGAATTAGTCCCTTATCAGAGGGCTGGATGGAGCTAGCTTAGGTCCATTTTCTGCTTTTTATCTCTTTCCCCATGTATGGACATGGCACATTTTCTTTTTGCCCTTTGTGGTCCTCCCACCATGTAATGACATATCAAGAAAACCTTTGCCAGACACCAAATGCCTTCATTTGACAGACACAAAATGCCTTCAGACTTCCCAGCCTCTAGAACTATGAGAAATAAATTTCTATTTTTTATAAATTAACCAATCTCAGGCACTTGGTTATAGCAGCACAAATGAATTAAGATAATGTTTATTTAAATTTTAATAGTGGAGTCATTAGACCAAAATCTAATTTTAAATGTCAGGAGAAATTATAATTTCCCCTTCCCCAATAAGTATGATTAAAATTGAATAAATCTCCTTTTAAGTTTGCATGTATAGATTTGAGTTATTCAAATAGAATGGCCTACAATTTAATTTGCACTACTCAACCCTGGACTTCAGCTTTAATAATACGGTGAAGGCACTATGGTTGTTGACAGAAAAAAACCAGTAAGGTTTGAAAAAATAAATTTTTTTAGGTCTCATAATGTATATCTTCTTTGCTATTAATTCTCAAATATCTAAAAATTATCTAAAAAGAGTAGAAATTTTATTTCTTTGTATTGGAATCTTTGTCATGCTATCAGCTTGCAGTGGAACCTAAAGACCCTAAAAGGATTAAACATGAAAGAAATAAAGGGAAGGCCTCCAGTCTAGAAGGTTAGCCAAGAGCCTCTGGTGAGAAACTTTTACTTCTGCTATTGATATCTCCAAATTCATGAGGCCAGTTAAGCTTGGTTAAGTGTCTAAAGAAATCTGTATTATTCCTATCTCATTTTTTGGCTCACCCATTGGAAGGTTCTAAAAGAAAGGCTAAACGATACTAGTGCTTATTACACACTTTTGCCTGTTATAAAATATAGTACTTATTATAGAACCACATATAAACTTTAAATTAAGACCTTATGGAAGGGATTATAAGAAATGACTAAAATACTTTTCTGTGATCTTCTGTAGGATTCATCCCACAAGAACTTTCTAATATATTTTTCCACATTATAGTAAAAAATTCCTAATATAATCTATTCTCTAAGATAATTGTATAGTAATTAACTTGTTTCTAATCAATATAATATTTAAGGAGGGAATATAAAAGTACATATTTCCCACTGGATTTTTATTATTTTATTGAGGTAAAGTTTATATATGCAAATCTATCTAATATACATGCATATATTTTATATTTGCATAATTTGTATACAGTAAAATGAACAAATCTTAAGTGTACAATTTATATATATACGTGATATGTAATGATATACATATATGTGTATGTGTATGTGTGTGTGTGTAAAATCACCTGGTTATATAAGTCACCACCACCCAAATCAAGATGTCAGACATTTATCCAAAAACTTCCCTCATGCTAAGAGCTACAGATACCTTCTAGATAACCACTATTCTGATTTTCATCATTATAGATAAGTTTTTTCCTATTCTTAAGCTTCCTATAACTGAAATACAGTATGTCTTCATATAGCTGGCTTCTTTTCATCAATATAAGATTTTGAAAATTCTTCCATGGTATATGTGTCAGTAATGTCTTACCAGATTTATCTCCTTTCTTTGGAATTATTTATAGCTTTTAGCTGTCATGAATAAAACTGATATGAAGATTTGGGGGCATATATCTTTTGATGGCCATGCAACTTTATTTATCTTGGGTTGAGAGCTAGATTATAAACCCTATAACTCTATGAGAGATGTATAGGGTTAGCTCTAGTAGATACAACCCAATTTTTCCAGTCATCAAATAACTTATATTCTCATCAATAGTGTAGAAAAGAAAAACTGCTCTACCAAAAAAGGAAAGAGTATTTAGTATGGAAATAAAATTATGTACATACAAACATATGCATACACAAAATGTCCCTTGCCTAGGTGTTTGTTAATTTTTTAGCATTTTTGGTGTGGCTTTATTACTTGTTTTCCAATTCAGAAAATAGTGAGATTAAAAAAAAAAAAAGCAGATTGGAAAGTGGAAAACTAGGGGCAACAAATTTTGATTTTTTTCTCCAAACTTTAACCCAATGTTTCCTCAAAAAAAACAAGCATTGGTATCTATCCCATTAAGATGATATCAAATCAATGTGGAAATGAAGTATATACATATTCTCCTGTTGAAGGACCACTGCTTAAATTAGCATATTAACAGTTCAGAAAAGTTCTATAGTCAAAGAAAATAATTAACTTTGTTTAATCCATTACTATATGAACCTATTGATCATGGGATACCTACTCCTTTTTTTTCCCCCAAGTACACCTATTTATAGCTTTCAAAATAAGATTTTTGTCTTTCTTTAGACCATTCTCTAGATCAATGTGAAATTCCCTTCAATTTAGTGATAATTTACTAATTAGAGATATTTGTTTCCTTGAAAAATGTGTCTCAAGGATAAGTTCCCTTCTGAGACAGTGTTAGCTTTGGGAAATAGTTGATGATGCTGACGGGTCAGGAGCAGGATATTCATATCTAGCCACTAAATAAAAATGCAAATAATCGTGGAATCAGCCACCGAGGCCTGGTTGGACCTATTTCTCTTTAACTAATCCTCTGTACTTCAAGTTCCTAGTGGCACTCACACCCTTTTGACAATACAATAGTATTTGCAGTTATACTTTTTGAGTAGATTAGTAGATACATGATGAAAGTACTAATTACTACTTCCCTGGAATCGACTGTATAGAAGACATATGGTAGAGAAGACATAATGGTAGAAATTGTTAAAAAAAAAAAAAGCAGAGAACAAAGCCACCAAACAGAAACATCTCTCAGAGTAGCTGTCATCTTCTTCCATAATTAACAAGGATGCATAATGTTTTGTGTTGCTCAAAGGAGAAACTCCAACCTTGAGAAATTATTAAGATATGAGAAATATATCTCTCCCAAGAAAATCTAATTTCATTTATTCAGTATCCTTTCTGTTAAAAAAAAAAAAAGTCCCCATAAGTTTTCCTCTCATTCTTTAAAATAAATTCCACTGAATCTAGTTTAAATTTTCAAAAGTCGATCCAGGGACGAATCCAAGAAAAACAGCACGATTTAATGAGGAAACATGAAACCAATTTCACAGCTAAGCGCCAGTATTCAGAACTTTTTTTAAAAAACAGAAACCATGATAAACCCACTGAGGACAATGAGGGCAGGGAATAGTTGCCACACTAAAAAGAAAACTGCTTATAATGAGGTGTCTCAGCTACCTGCCTGGGACTTGTACTCTTTTACAGAGACCACAGTTTACGTTTAAGAGTATATGATATCTTGTAACAGTTTTCGTTTGGCATTTTTCACCTGGGTTAAAAAAAAATTATTCCCAATTCAACTCTTGTGCAAATGTAAAACTTATTTACCTGCACAAAACCACACGCTGTGAAGTCCTCAAAGAAGGGCAGGCTTGGGCGGTCTTCTCTATAGATGGTGAGTTTGTATGTGACCAGAGTCTCACCCTCTGCTGGAGACTCATCCACCACAAGCATGGAGATTTTGTTCATTCCTAAGCCAAGAGGGTAGTTGGCAAAGCTGCAGATAAAGGGTAGAGACAGACAGAATAGATATGAATAGGGGACATTTATTCAAGCCAAACGGATTCAGACATCAATATTTATTAAATGCCTACTATGTGCATTAAAACCAGGCAAGGCCTATACAATCTCATAAGAAACCTCAAGTATGAAAAAAAATAAGTTTTGTTTTATCGTACTCTTCTGTTCCACCTTGCAGAGCAAGTCATACCTTCCATTAACTAAAGGGAAGGAAACTGATGCTATTAATTATCTCATTTATACATTAATACATTATCTCATTTAGTACTCACAGTAACTGTATATAGAAACTGTGATGATCCCTATTTAGAATATAAGACCATTACATACAACTGGTAAGCAAATTGTCCAAAATTATATGATAGAGTCAGGGGTGTGACCTAGATGGGTCTTTTTTTTTTTTGGTACCAGGGATTGAACCCAGAGGGACTCAACCACTGAGCCGCATCCCCAGTCCTTTTTATTTTTTGTTTTGCGACAGGGTTTTGCTAAATTGCTCAGTGTCTCACCAAATTGCTGAGGCTGGCCTTGAACTTGCAATCCTCCCATCTCAGCCTCAGGAGTCTCTGGGATTATAGGCATTCACCACCATGCTTGGCCCTCTGTTCCTTCTATTAGACTCTCTTGACTACCAGGAATGCTAAGAACTTTTCTTTCCCAACAGCCTGGAACTATGAGTGTTTTCCTTGCTACACAGCATGTAATAAGAGTCTATTTTCTGTTCAAAATTATAGACAAAAGAGTTGGTGACTTTCAAAAGCATGGATAGAAAAAATATCCCTGTGAGACCAGGTTAGTGGGTACTATGTTCACAAATCATCACTAACATGTTTAAGCAATGAACCCCAGTTATCTAATAACTTGAAGTGTTGGCTTGGGGTAGAAAGACGTTGCTGTTCAGTAGGATTCTCTCCAACAACCCGAAAGCATCAAGACAACAAATAGAATTTTCCTTAATGATTCCTCATTGGTTTCCTACAACAAGATTCTGCCTTGTTGTAACATTGTCACGAATATTATTTACAAAGAATGTTAATAGATGAGTAGCACTTCTGTGTTCTCTGTGAGCACATAATGCCTGAAAAGGGGAAAGATTTCACACCCTGGAAATCTCTCCAAATGATCAGTGGCTTCGCTTTTCTTAACCACTTTTAAAGGGTACATTGAATGTCCGTTTTTCAGAGAGCTGTCCCAACCCAGCCCAGTGAGTATCCCCATACCTCGGCCCTGCCGGCTCATACAGGTGCACTGTGCACTGACACTTAGACGTCACTGCCCCGATTGTCACCGTTACCACATCAAATGGGACTTCGGAATAATAATCTTTGATCCTTGGATTAAAGTCAGGATTTAGTTCCAACTGTGGATGTGTGAAGATCTCCTTGATATGACATAGTGTTTCTTTATCTGTTAAAACAAGAACAACAAAAAAATAAATCTGTGAAATGGATAGAATATTTTAAATCGTGTATTTTTAATGTTTTTTTGTTTTGTTTTGTTTTTTACTTCTAATTCCTTTGAACAATTTCGGTGATCACAACTGACTGTCCATTTGGCACCCTGGTTATAATTGATTTGTGGCTTCAGCTACATTTCCTGATTTTCAAATTTCACAGAATTTACATATAGCAGCTTTGCCTTTAGTTGGTGCTGTACAGGTGGCACTTTTTGCTCAGCTCTTTAAAGTTTAAAGGCACAGAAGTTGGGGAAAATGTCTATGGCCTATCAACAACAATGTAAATGGGGACAATGGCTTTGTGGGGTGGTGACAGAAGGAAACCAGCAGGCAATAAGGTATATTTCTTAATGGAAAATGTCATCAAACTGCTATGAGGTTAACAGAGTAGCTTATAGGGAGTAGGGTGGAGTGAAGAATGTGCACTCCAGTATTAAACAAAACCCTCATGAAAATATCCACATGAATGTCCTGCATCCCCTTTTTTCCCAGGGCACCTCAACATGGGAAAGGGCCATGAAATGTCAAAAAGAGATCCTATATTCTGCTCAGTCCTGCCTTAGAATCTAGATATGACTTCATACTGATGATTCCAAGACTTTAATCTTTGTCTTCATCAGCTGATTTTCACAGTAGCATCCAGAGTTTTTTAAAAAAAAAGCTATAGAAGAACATGCACCAGCCACGATTAAATTATATTCAGTTTTCATGTTTAAAATGGACAAATCACCCAATGGGTTAGTAAAATGTTTTTCAAAGAAATGTCAACAAGTACTGTGTTCCATCCATCAATTATTTTCAAGAGTCAACACCATTCCAGAAAAATTCTACAGAAATTAGTAAGATGAGAGTTTGCCCTCGTGGCCTTCCTATAAAATGTTGATCCATGTTTAACAACAGCAACACAAAAGACAACAATTCAAGGCAGGAAACTATAAAACTGGACTTAGAGAATGGAGATGATTCTGTTTATGGTTGTCCCTTCCTCTGCTTTTATACAATTATCACAATGATGGTTTTTAAAGTCAAATCTGATGGTCTGCCTGCCATTTGCAGTGGCTTCTCATCATTTCCATAGTCAAATTCAAGCTCTTAAGAAGGCAAACAAAGCATTTCACAAACCCTTGTCCTGCTCTCCATTTGCCTCTCCCATTGTGTCCTGGATCTTGTATTCAAGATCAAAGTTTTTATGTTTCCTTGACGAACATGGTGATGCATGAGGATGAAACCCACCAACCACGTGGGTGCTTTATTCTAGATCTAATGACCTGGTCTCAGAATAGATGCCATCATGCATGAAAACAAAATGAACAAACCTATGTATTTCTAAACCATCCTCTACGGGCCCATCCACCTACATTCTCAGCCTGTGGTAGAAAAAAAAAAAAACTAGTCAAGTATAAATTAAGAATAATGATAATAATAATAAATAATATAGTAAATATATTATAATTCCATTTTATAGAAAAGTCTAAATTAAAAAAAATAACTAGCCAATCCTATTGAATAGCTCAGTGAATTGGGTCAACTTAAATAACAATCCTAAGGTTTTATCTGGCTGATACATGAAAGAAGACTGAATCTATAATTTTAATAATCATACCAGCTCCTGAAATTTTCTTCTAATAAAAGAGGAAAAATACAACACTGAGAGCAGAGATTATATTATCAGAGCTCATACTGAAATAGATCATAGCTTTTAACTTAAATTCAGCTATTTATTAATAACATTCATTTTCTATCAATATTTTTATCTCCAGTGTATTCTATGTTAAAGGCACTGAGATAAGCACAGTAAAAACAGGATACTATTAATCAAGAAATTTAATTCAAATGGATGATGTTAACTCATCATAGTACTAAGCAAACTGGACTGAGAATATGTACTGTGCTGTGGAGAGGTCCGTTGCCTAGTCACAAAGGGAATATAAATAATTACACTATGCTTTCATGCTCAGAACCAGCTAAATGAATAAGAAAGGAGCAGATCTTTTTTCTCATAATGAAGCATAGAAATGTACTTAAATTTAGGGTATATTTTTGTAATGGTTCCCTGAAAGATAGTTTCCTTTTGGTTTATACTTCTTACATTTCTTTTTATATTCCACTTAACAGTCATGGTTTTCAGTGGGGCTTGCACATGTAATAAAATGAACCTCAGCCCTACTTGAGATGACAGAAATATGTAATTATTTTCTTCTCAAGATTTTAGCAAGTCCTTATTTTTGATCTCTTTAGAAACTTTTCACCTCTGTCTCAAGCACTATATCCCAGACCCCTGTTTGAAAGTTGTTTTAGCTATGACATCCAAACTGAATCATCAGAGTTTCGGCCTACAAACACCTGGTGTTTCCTTGTACTCTTTCCCTACCCAATCCCAATTTGTCTCAGGCCAATTTACCTAAGAACTTTGGAGAGCTCAATGTGAGGTATGATGGTAGCAAGCCACTTAACCTATTTGGCAAGTGTACATGGGAAAGCTGTTGGAAGTTTTGATTGCTTTTAATGGATTTCTTTGAACCATAGAAATTTATTGCTCTCTTGAGGGAAAACCATAATTCATACTAAACATAAGAACAGCCTAGACTCTTAAAGATAAGCCCACCTGTTCTGAGGCATCATCAAGATTTTAAAACATATCCTATATCATAAAAGCTTATTTGAAGATACAAGTAGGACTAGTTTTTATCAACATAAAAACATGAACAGAGTCGAAGAGTTTTTCTAACAGGTTCGTTCCCCTTTTCTTTACCATGTTACCTGTGAGCTGAAAATGATGAGCTCATTGGTACAAACCTTCTATTGCACAAACAAGAATGCAGATGCCCAAACAGGTGAATGGAGAATCTAGATGCCCAAACAGGTGAAGTGGCCTTCCTAGTGCTGCACCCAGTCTCTACCTGGATCAGAGTAGATACTCAACAAATTCTTATGCTAATTCTGCTCCTAGTTTTTTCAATAGTCTCTTCCCCACCACAGTCCAGACAATTGTGTACCAGGAGAGAAAATAAAATGTATTTTCTGGGGTGGGAGTTCAGGCAGTGAGTACAGGGAGGGAATATCATAAGTAATATCAATTCTCGTTTCCTGTTAGCAATGCTTGCTTTTAAATACTTTTATTTATTTAGTTGGAAGCATGTTGATTCTATTAAAACCTATTATTACATTGCTTCTTCATCTACCACGATTTTAGTGGTAGTGTTAAAGCATTATGATTGAAGCATTATAAGATAACAAATTAGGTTTGTTTAAATTAGACTTTTATTTATAATAAGTTAAACCTATGTCTATACATTCTATTTTTTTCAACTTCAATGTTTTATTGAATTGATATTTTATTTGTAAAAGCATTTTTTTGTAAAAAGTTTTCTAAGCATGTTTTAGCACCACATATAGATAGATATAGACACAGATATATTTTAAAAATTACACATTTTCAAAAACATACTATGTAGAACTCTTATTTTTGCATGATGTATTATACAGAATTTAAAAAATTACAGGAGATTAGAACAAAGCATCTGAAGGTCCAATTTCATAATCTAACTAAGGCATTTTCTAATCTTGACCTTAAAAAAGCCAGGCTCTTTAGAAAGATATATTTTCAAGACCATTATAATAATACTGGCCAGAGTGAAAGGGACTATTTTTAAATTTAAAGTTTATATAAACTTAAAATTTATATTTTCTTTTATTGTGGCTTTGTTAAAAACAATTCATGAATTTTAATAAAATTAATTGAAAATTGGCTTAAAATGCTTAACTATTTAAAGAAAATTCTACTCAAGTACAATGCATCATAGCAAACTCTTCCACTTGAGAGACCTCCAAAATAAAGATTTAGAACCTCTTGGGTCCCTCCAAATGAGTTTAGAAGTTATTATCCTGAAATAAACATAACAGTTTATGCTATAATCCTTTCACTCTGGTCATGCAAAATGGATGGATATTAACTCAATCAAAAAGACAATAACTTCTCAAATTTTAATCAAACTAGCAGCCTAAAGATACATGAATATGTAAAACTGACTTCTTTTTTCCAAAGCAACTGTGCCTAACCATTGATTATGTTGCCAAAACACTTTGATATCAACTCACCATTACTGCAATGTATATCTTTATTTTTGTTCATAATTTGTGGAGCTGCAGCTAAAAAAGAGATGTCAATTTTAAGTTAAAACTATTAATTAAAATTTAAAACACATGTTTAATTAACTCAAAGAATAATTTAATAAAATACATTTTATTAGCTTTTATAATACCAGTGAGCATTTCTAAGTAAAACCAATAATTACAATAAAACAAAAGCTGTTTGATTTAAAAAGGAAAGCTTTTTCATTCACTTTCAAATAAGATAATATTAAAGGTGAAAATGAATGGTCTTAATGTCATCCTTTGCCTGAAAGTTATCTATTGAAGATCCTCCTAGTTCTATAATTCAGTGACTATAATTTCTTAAATCATTAGAATTCAGAAATTCTATTCAGTTGGTTACACTGCAATTTGTTTAAGTTTCTGAATTTAGCCAAACATCTATCTTTAAAAAACTCCTTCATAAATATTCATGAATAAATAAATGAATAAGAACATACAGAGTGCTTAAGCTATCCATTTAAAGAGAAAAATGGTAGGAGAGAGAAAAGGAGTCATAATACCCCTTTATGATTAATTCTGCACTAAGCCAACTGATTCATTTTGTTCAATCAGTGGTTCTCAAACTCTTGTGTGCTCTGGACTTATCTGAGAGGCTTGTTAAAATGCAAATTACTAAGCTTCATCAAGAGATCATGAATCAGGAGCTTTGAATCTCTAAGTTCCTATCAATGTTGATGCTGCTGGTCTAGAGGCTGGGGCACCAATGAGAACCACGTATTTGATTAAATCCTAGTTTATAATAGAAAAACCTAGATTTTCAAAAAAATTTGTAGACACATGGGTGGTTGCTTTCCTTTTTTCTTTTTAAAATTAGAAATATTTTCTTATGAAAAAAATCTCAGGTATAATTTAGAAGGAAAAAATGCGAAAACAGATAAGCATAAGACATAAAATCAAAATCACCATTAATTTTCCTTAGGGTTTCTATTGCTAGTAGCCAACTGCTACATTTATTTGTATATCCTAAACATATTTCATGTCATAGATATTTTTCCATGATATTGAAATGGCTCTGTAGAATTTCGCTGGATGACTCTAGCTTCATTTATACATTTAATCTACTGTCATGGCAATAGTGCTTCTAAATGCTTTTTATTCCTGATTTATTTAATTAAATTTTATATGTTCTTAATTATTTCCTTAAAATGAATATCCAGCAGTGGAATTCCTGGTCTGTAAGAATCATCTTTAAAGTTTTTCTTATGTGTTGCTAAATGACCCCTTAATATATGTTGTTCTAATTTATGCATCCACCAGCATCATAATACTTTTTTCCATGTACTTTTCCCAACTCTCTAATCTATAGGAAGAAAACTCTAATTTTGAGGAAAAACAACAGCTCCTTGTCTAATATTCAATTTTGATGGCTAATGCAGTTAACCACACACACACACACACACACACACACAAATCTTGGTCAGGCAATTCTTATTTTATGTTAAAATAAGTGGGACTATATGGTTTTACCTTTTTTGATTTCATGTGTATCAAATGACACTGGAGGGTTTTCAATGTTCTTGTCTTCTATGAAAGAAGTCCTGCAAATACAATGTCAAACAACCCTGGATCAATGACGCAAACACAATTCATGGAAATTACATCAAGTACACTATCTTTTCTTCCATGTGGGCACAGTTATTTTGATGAAGACAAAGAAACACTTTCTGGATTTTATTCCTCCAGACTGGCAAGTGAGCCGCCAGGGAGATGGGTGGAAATCTCATCATCTCTAATCAGTAGAAGCACATTTGAAGCAAACCAGGGCAAAAAGTCACTCTTCAGTCCAACACTGAGCAATCTCAGATAGCCTGGGTCCAACAGAAGTGATTCAAAAACGCACATTGTTATTGGAATCTCTGGCTAAAGTTACACAGTTTTTGAAGCAAAAAAGGCTTGGAAACTTTGAGACATAACCTGGGAAAAACATACCCAGAATATGAGAAAACTAATTGTAGCATGCAATAAGGACTTATGTCACTAAGTCTTCTGTCCCTTGAACTCTGATAATTGGTCAGGAACAGAAAAAGGTCAGATAATAATGTGCTGAATGCACTTCTTTTTCTCTGTTGTATAACTAACTACTTGGCCAGAATGTCCTTTAAATTCTTATATTTGGGATCAAAATAATCTAAATTTCAGACAAGATAACTGCTGGTCCTGATGATACAGAAGATGGTTTGGAGGCCCCTGACATGACTTTCCTATTCTAATGGGTCTTTCTTTTCACCCCAGCAAAGTGGAGATAACAATACTTGCCTTACTTAACAAGGATGCTATGCGAATTAAATAAAATGCTCTATGTTATATATGTTTTATACATATTTATTGTCTCAGATCTTGTGCTGGGCATTGCAGCAGAGCAGAGATGAACAGTGTATATTAAATTCCTTTAAGATATAACCATCAGAATGAGAATTAAGAATAGTCAAGGAATTCAATATTTCACTAATGTCCGAAGGTGTGATAATTGTATTGCAATCTTAATTCCAGCAATATATCTTGCAAAAGATGCAACATGAAATGCACATAAACTGAATTTTGGAAATGTTACTATCTTAATGGAATGAGGTACTTTGTATAGAAATGATGACCATTCTGTATAGAAAGGCATCTTGTAGTGATTTCTTGGGTAATTTTATGAATAAATTATTTGTTTTGAATCCACATGGATTTTCTTGGAAAGCATTTCCTTAGAGCAAAATACAAATATAACTGTATTTCTAGCAAAGTGAAAATTAGCAGATGGTGCACAAATATGAGTTTTAAGATTTCCATTCTATTCAGAATTATACTAATTCAATTGGACTTCTGGATTCTGAGCCTTGGGGCACATTGCAATAGCTATTATCTACTACTGCTATGTTCTGACTTTATTTTTCCTCACCTAGTTACTACAAGCAAATGGTCTTGATTTAGAAAATAGAATGGTCATTAGACTCCATAGGTAGTCTATGATTTATTGACTTTTTCTATAGAAAATCTTGGAGGTGACCATTTTCAAGGCAGAAGCAATGATGACCATTCTGCCTGCATAATGCACTGGAAAAATGTACTGGACCATGGATGAGATAGCCAGGGTCATAGTCCCAATTCTATTTACAGTAGCTATCCAATGTGAGTAAATAATCCATCATCTTAGGACCTCAGTTTCCTCATTTGGAAAATGTATACAATATGCATCCTTCTTGCATGTATGATCATTAAATATGCATATGCTCACTGATAAATTGAAGATAATTAAAACTGAATTTTTAAAAAATTTACTAGGAGCAATATATTAATTGTTTTTTTTTTTTTTTTTTGGTAAGAATCTAAAATTTACTTGTTTTAATATTAATCTAGGTAATTCTTTCAAATGTCTTTTTGTTTTCCTGTAAAAAAAGAAAAGAGTTATCCCCACTATAGAAGCTAAAGTGACCATCCTATGGTATAAAAGCATGAAAATAAAAGCATACTTAAATTTACTGCATACCTGTGCCACAGCATCAGGCACACGGAAGCTATTTTATGTGATCTTACTGAACTAATACATGGCAGATAATATAATCTATATTTTAAAGATGAGGAAATGGAGTCATAAGGTTCTGAACCTTGCCTGCTAATCCATGTATGTGCAATTGAAAAAAGTCCTGCTCTCTTCAAATTATCCTCAACACTGACCATTATCAGTATGTTTCCTTACTGGAAGGGAATACAATCATCTGAATGTAAGAGTAGTGAAATACTTAACCTTACAGCATATGTGCAGCTTGAGAAAACTTGCTAGAGAACAAACTTTCAAAAGCTTGTGTATATATCAGGGGAACTTACTCAATGTTAAAAACAATCTGTTAATAGGCTCCTTGGGAAATCCAGCCTGTTCTTCACTTATCTATAATAGGGCATGAGACAGTCTTGCATTATTCGAGCAAGTGCAAAGTGAAAGCAAAGTGGCTTTGAGCTATATTATTTAAAACTTAATTTTCAAGTACACAAACAAAACCTTCTGTCAGGCCTACTACTTCCATGTATTAAGGGAATAAGGCCAAGTTCATAAAGTTTGACAAGTAGGATGGGTTCTGATCTTGGGAGATGTTATAAGAAGTCTTCAAATACATGATTATTTGTATTTTTTAATTACAAAAAGGGTTTCTTCTAGAATTATTTTCAATACCTCTGGAGGCAGAAGGAAATAAAGTGTAAGTCAATAAAACTGCTGCCATCCCCAGGGTGACTACAAGAGATGCAAATGAGTATGCCATGTGGATTACTCTTTCATCTTCCTAGGAGGTTTAGGTTTAATTCTGTTTGCCTGGCAGTAGAAAAGTCAGATTTTCTCGATTCTATCCATATAAAAGAAAAGTAGACAAAATCTTAGGTACCGCCCCTTTGCCAACTTCTGAAGGCACCAATGCATCACCTGTACCATTAACTAACGCATCGCCTACATATCTCCTTCATTACTGCCTCCCATCAGGACGGGAAGGTACCTTACCAAAACAAAGCAAATAAAAAGACTAAGTGTACCTAAATTTAGATTTGCCCAGAATACAGTCATGCTTCTAAGACCCTCTAAATAAATACTATTACTGTATCAGGTTGCAGTCAGATGGTTCGTGAAACAAATCTCACCTAATTCTTTCCTCTCTTGCTGCAAACAAATCTCACCTAATTCTTTCCTCTCTCTTGCTGCCAGTAATGCAAAGATATGTACCATGGAATGAAACTATATTGAAACTTTTAATTTGAGCATTATTTTATGGAGGAGTCAAGTCTTGTTGGTTTAAAAACGGTTAGATATATTTTTGTTACAGTGTTTAAAGACCACCAGAATCATTATGGTTTCAATGTTTTAAAGACATTTATTTTCCAGATTATGAATTTTTTTGGACACATTTCTTTTTGTTGCTTTCTTTAATGTTAGCAAAGCCTTTTGAAATCAATCTTTAGACTGGAGACTTTTTTGGATTGCATAGTTCAAATTTGTGGCTACCTTACCATTCCAGTGGATGTAGCTGGGCTTTTTTATTCAGGAGCCAAAATTGTTCAAATACATTTAAAAGAGACCAGTACTGGGTCAGGACTGAGCCAGGTTTTCCCAAAGGATTTGTTGTATCGTAAAATTCATGCATCAAAGATCGAATCCCAGGAGTGGTAGATGGAAAGAGCTGAGAAGAAATATTAAAACACAAAGTATCCGCATAAGTTATGGAAAATAACTTAAAATGTAATATTACTAGGAAAGGTTTTATATCCAGTTAGATATTTTTTAAAATAAATTCGTTGATTGATCAGTACTGTAATTTAATTTTTCTGGGCAGTTGTTAAGGTAGATGCCTCTTTGTATAAGGAACTAATTTTGTCAATAATCACATTTCCAGATGGGATGGGTTCTTCTCTGCCTTCCATTGAGGAGAAATGGATTTCTCCTTCTTGTTAAAGTTAACTAACATATCTTGCTGCAGCTAAATAACAGAAGGAATCAGCCATCTGGAAAAATAAGGACAAATCATCTTTGTTATAAGTGAATTACATCAGGGCAAGAAGTATTCCTCTCACTAAAAAATTAAATGAAAATAACCTCTGGTTATCTGGTTTCTGCAAAATAACTCTTTAGTTCTTTTTTTTTTTTTTTTTTTTTTTGCATTATGCCAAGAGATATTCTATAGTCACAGCATCTTAACTATAGTATTGAACTAAATTACCATATATGTAGCACTATATTTAAATCAATCAAAATGAGAAATATATAAACTAAATTATCTTTGAGGAAATAAGCTTATTTTGAAACCTCCAAAATATGGGCTAAATTATAAAAGCAAATGTCAAACATTCATTAATTAACTCAATAAATGGGTACAGCTCATACAACAAATATGTATACATAAATTAAAAAAAAAGAAAAAGGCTCAAGCCATATGTCAGATTAATGATGAATTATTAATGGACTTTTAAAATATTGTTTTAAAAGGATGTTTTACATGAACAAATCTTAGATGGAAAAATGCAAATCATTATTGTCTATTTGTATAAATGGCAGAAGTAAAAACAAAGCTTTCACTGAGCATACTCATTATATATAATAAATCATCCTTAGATACTGATTAATAAATTAACAAAGTCCAAGAAAATACATACAAATACTCCTTTTATAAGCTGAAACCAGTAAAACATATTTACATTTTCTTTCTCTGACATTTGTTACATAGTTAAAACAAATTAAGATTTAGGTAGTTTTCTAAAATGTTTTTATTTTGTTCAATTATATTGATTTTATACAAATTAAAAAAATATAAAAAGCAGAAATAAACTTAGGTTGTATGTAAATGTCCCAAGGCTAAAAGCAAAACTTCTTTAGAAAAATGTTAACATTTTCCCCTTAAAAACTGTCAAATCCTGGAAGCTATACTAATCCCATATATTTTTCTTATCTTTGATAAGTCATGGGTTTTGTACAGACTCTTAAAGTAAAACATAAATCTTGCTCATCTACTATTTAGATTTCTGAAAGAAAGAAGGAATCTTTAGTTTGAAGTCAAAAGCAGGTAATTTAACGCCAATCTTTTATAATCTTAATAATCAAGAGGTGTCAAATATCACTTTTGTTTTACCAGTTGAAACTGCCCCAGACTCCCAAGTTCCTTTATGAAAGTCATAATTGAGTCAATTTCTTCTAAAGCCAGACATTGATTTAGGTCCTTTTGATAGTTTTCATTTTCGCCCTATAATAATAGGAGGGAAAAATCATAAGCAATAGCTAAAGTTTAAATCATTTTTACCCCAATTGCCTCCTACTTCATAAGCCAAATTTTAAACTCTATAAACAGATAAGAAAATTAATGTTACATAGTGCAAAGTAACTTTAATTTGTCACAATATAAGTAGACCTCATATTTGACAAAGACAACCTGGATGAAAAAGCTTCATGATGATGCTTTGGTAGTAAGGTTGAGGAGGTGAACAAGAGAGAGAATGGGTGTGACAAATTGGTTTGAGAAAGCAGCAGGAGTCTCCTGTAGCCTTCAGAGCATTTAATGAATATTTACTAATGAACCTATATATGGGACATTGGCATTTGAGGTTTCACATACTTTAGGTTTTCCCACTTTCACTTTTTCAAGAGCAGGAGAAATAGAACATTGATCTTTATGAGACCTTTCATAACCTTCCTCCAAATACTCTAAAATATAGGTTATAAAATTTAAAAAATATATATATAGGGAATAATACTCAGGAATCTGTATAATATTTTATGTATCAAGCAAATTTGTGCTAACCATAAAACTTCACCAATGCTACTCTGAAGTATCATCAGCATCTGGCTATACACGTTAACAAATGTGAATGCTTTAAAATATTAAAGTTATAACTTAAATCTCTGATGTCCATCTGAAGCACTTTCTGCTATCTAGACTGCCTTCAAAAAGTTCCAACACTCTTTTAAAAGTATTCTGTAATATACAACATGCTTTAGTTGTAATATACACAAACATTCCTTCTGAATTATGAACTGCTTTATTTCATTTTCAACCCACAATTTTATCACAATCATTTATGCACACACTTAGTTGATTTAAAAATGTTGCTCCTCAGGTCAGAAAAAAAAATGAGAGGTGCAACATAGATGTCAATTAATTTCAAACAAATTCTCAGATTGTTTAATTACATAATAAAGAAAACGTCACCTTCTAAAGAAGACCTGAAAAAACATTCATCAACACACAAATTGGCACTCACCTTAAATACACCAGATCTATAAAGTCTCTGAAATATCTCTGAAAATAAGGAAAGCGAAGAGTCATTGGAGAAGAGAAAATTGAAAGTGTCTTTTAACAAGAATTCTTCTGTATTTTGGTCCTCAAAATCCATGTTATCATCATCTTGAAAATTCAAATGCTCGTGCACCTTTGAAAGAGTCAAAGCACAGTGAATAGTTTCCATGAATTAATTCAGTGGAATTACTTCTAAGACATGATTTATTTCCTGTTGTTTGTAGATCAGACCTGACATCTAGTGGTCTTTTTGGAGGTCAACAGTTTTATAAATATGTTTTCTTAAAGATTCAATTCTTTAAGGTAAGAAATTTAACTGTGATTAAGTCATGTAACCTAAGATAAGCTAACATTAGCTTATCTTAAAGCCATCTATAATTGAAGAATCTTTGTTCACCAAAGATAATACAGAACACTTTTCTGAAGTACACATTTTTAAAAGCCTAATATCAACTATTAGATATGTGTACAAAGTAAAGCTAAATTGGTCATTATAAGATGTCATTTCATAAACTTCAAAAGGAAAAAGAAACTTTTTTTGCATTTTACCTCTGAGCTACAGACTCAGGCTTTTTTTTTTTTTTTTTTTTTTTTTTTTTTTTTTGAGACAGGTTCTCACAAAGTTTCTTAGGGCCTCACTAAGTTGCTGAGACTGGCCTCAAATGCCTCAGCCTCCCAAGGCATTGAGATTATAGACATGTGCCATTGCACCTGGCCAAAGTTTCAAAATTTTATAGGTAAATCTTAAAGTTATTCAACCAAATATCTATAATTGCTTTTCCTGAATTATAGTTTGAAAACAAATAATGCTATATGAATTTGAATTTTGGTTATTCATGCTATTTTATTTATCTTCCCTTCTTCCCACACCAGAACTCAAGAAAGAGCTTCCTGTAGACTAGTTGAACCAAATTGGTTTTTACCTTCTTGCCCCTGAGGGCTATTTTAGAAGAAAAAAAAATATGTTTGGGGAGATGATATGAGAGTGTTTGCCGAATTCAAGAAGAAGAAAAAAAGTATACAAAAGCACTCTAATTTCTATGTATTTATACTAGGGAAAAAATCTCAAAAATCCCCATGGATTTTTAAATTAAAACAGACCAATTTAAAACTAAATGTTCCAACACAAAGAATAAGAGTTACCCTTTTAATAGCACTATGTGAATGCACCATGCAGTCTACTATTTTTCATTATACATCTTGCTTCTCTCATTTAACAAATACTTAGGTTTATTTCACATTTTTTTCATAAACAGTGGCTGAACCATGGAAAAATTCATGTTTGTTCTACATGAACAGGAACACACAGTGGGGATTGGAACTCATAGAATCCTGACATACTAATTGATTTCAAAACCACAATGCATATGAGCCTATAATGGCTTTAATTCAGGTTACTGTTTATCAGTTTGTGATTGTAAATGAAAATCTCTCTCTCTCTCTCTCTCTCTCTCTCTCTCTCTCTCTCTCTCACACACACACACACACACACCCTTCACCAGGAGTTGGAAGCTCACACCACTGGGCCTTTGGCAACTCACCTGAAGCACTATAGGGTACCTGAGACTGTCATAACCAATATCAAAAGTTAAAAGTTGAAAGCATAATCTACATCTGAAATAAAAACATAAGACAGCATGAAAATATATTCTCTTTGTTCACTGACTCTACTACTTGGTATCATATAGTTGATGACTACATAGTTAAATGTCAATATCTGTAACCAAAAATTACATATAATTGATTCTTGGATTTGGAATTTGTTTTGTTTCTTAAAGAAAGTGCAAGTATATCTAACATATTCATAACACTTTAAACTATGAAGTTATTCCATGAAAATTTTAATATGGAGGGGAAAAAAGCTCTCCTATTCCTACATGTGAGATGCCTATTCAAGTACAAAGTATAATAATGAGTGTAATAAATTAAGGAACCTCTCTTTTTTATATATATATACTCAATTTAGTATGCCCTTAGAACAAAGGCAATCAATTATACTCAACATACTGAAATACAAGGCTAGGAGTTACTAAACACATTAATAAAGATGTTTGTTTCCTTCTCTACATTTTGAAACACTTAGATAGCCAAGAATAACATTTATTAGGTATGGGTAACACTGCAACCAACAAATACTAAGTCTATATACTAAAAATAGCTGAATTTGAAAGAAAGCTACAATTTAAAAATTAATTTTAAGATTTTGTGTTTTATTTCTTATCACCAATATTTGGTTACTAACAAGTGCACAACATGCTCTGAAGTTTTATGATCCATATGTATGTAGAAGATCATACCAACAATTTTTGGAAGACAGATATTTTCTTCTCTTTTTTAAATTAAAATTCATTTTTACCTATGGAAGGTCTTTGGTCCCAGAGTAGACGTTTCACTGAAGACTTCAGCAGCCAGAAGAAGTTTGCTGATTGTTTCCTTCATATTATCAAATGCCTGAAGTGGTGAACTTGTCTTCAGGAATGTCTCAAAAAAAGTTTGCAGCTGTGAACAAAATAAAAGATTTCCTAAGGTACTTAACCTGGCCTTGAATTTGTGATCCTCCTGCCTCAGCCTCTCTAGTGTCTGGGATCACAGGCATGGCCACCACACCATTTCAAGTCAATGTCTTTTAAAGGTATAAAACAAATCTCACATCGCTTCATAGACTTTCTCTAAGAGCAGTCTTGATTTGTCTATCTTTTTCAGGGATATTTCTCTTTTTCACACTCAGAGGGAAAAAAAAGAAAATAAAAAAATAAAATATTTCCTTAAATGGAAAGTTCTAATCTAAGGCTTAAGTGTTTTATAATTTAAATTACAAGGTGAAAGAGAAAGGTTTAAATACCTTGTAATTTAAATCACTTTAGAAGTGCTTACTCCATTTTTTTTTTCTTTTATTTCATGGCATCTAATCTTGGAAAATGTAGAGGAGCTTTTCTAACAAGGCTGTGAGCAGAACTCCCAAGTTTAATTGTACTAACAAAGGGACTGGACTTGCTACTCACTCCTCAGAATTTGTATGTCCTCTCTTTAAACTGGGGGTAATATCCACCAATCAGAGTTGTGAAGCCAAATTAGAAGAAAATTTATTTGAAAGCCAATGTGAGGTATGAAATCAAATCTCAGTTATTATCAATTTTCTGCATGTATCTGAATAAAAATAGCATCATCAAAATTATTTCTTTACTGCATTTTTTTCTCTGGATGCACCAACCCAAGTAGAGAGGAATCCAAGAGAATCCCAGTGTTCTGCTGACATACATTTTCATTTAAAATTTCATGTGGATAGAGCAATATTACCAAAGGGCAGATGGAGCTTAAGTTTATGTCTTTTTAGAAATACCATAATTAAAACCATAAATAGTTATTTTTATCTGTTTAATTATTAAAGCAACCAGACAAGGATGCTTAGAGTTAAAGTTCAAATCAAAAAAAAATATATATATATTTTTTGTACTGTGGCTTGAACCCACAGCGCTCTGCTACTGAGCTGCATCCCCAGCCCTTTTTTTTTTTAAATTTTATTTTGAGGCAGAGCCTCCTAAGGTACCCAACCTGGCTTTGAATTTGTGATTCTCCTGCCTGCCTAGTAGCTGGAATCACAGGCATGTGCCACCACACCCATTTCAAGTCAATGTTTTCTAAAGGTCTAAAACAAATCTCATGTTGCTTCCTAGACTTTCTCTAAACATACACTTCTAAAGATGAAGAACCAAAAATATTTTTTAAAAAAATATGCAGCATGTATTCTATTCGTGTTTTTGGAAGAACAGATGAAATGTATCAAAACTGTGTGAGACTTCGAAGTGAAAAACTATTTTGGCTGTGATAATGAAGGGCAAGTATTGATGCAAATCACCAGAGGAAAATGGCAATTGTTATCTTTAAAATGTGCAAGCAAAATTCCCCCAAGAGAAACAAATTCTGGCTTCATAAACTTTTACCAGCTGGAAAACAGAAACCTAATGAGACTACACATTAAAACCCTAAGAAAATATCATCGGCATTTGGCAATTGGGATGTTTTTCCATTTTACTAAGGAAAATGAATGCAGTAATTGTATAATTAAAAGAAAACAAATTAATGCTAACACTAAAACTGCTAACACCCTTGAGTCAAAATAGAGTAACATTATGTTTTTCTAAATAAAAGGAGCATAGTTGTCTCTCCTTCTGGAGTAGGCACACATTTTCCCTTGAATGTGCCTCTGCTTTTTGAAATAACCCTTTGTATGTTTCTAAAAAAAAAAAATTAAAAAGTAACTCAGCATACTTGATATATTTTATTAGGAATAGCATTGCATTTTTCCATTTTCATGTGAACTGAATATTAAGAGATTAAGGTTAATAATATATGGAAGTTGGAAATGCCTATGTATCATAAGATATCTAAAACTAAGGATCAGATTATATCCTTCATGAGGAAGAAATATTGGCAAATTAACATTTTAGATTGTGTTTAATCTTCTAATGCAGACATAATTATTTCTTAATATTTGACCAGAACCACAATGAATATGGAGTGCTGTTCATTTCATTCATTTCATTCAGCTTTCAGGTGAACTCTACCAAGTGGAAAGAGCTGTGTCCTTGAGAGAGAAGCTGCATAGTGGTAACACTACAGACCAGTGGCAAAAGATTCCACATTCAGCTTTGGTTTTGTATCAAAGTTGTGAGACCTTGTGGGATAAATAATTTCTATTTTACACAGATTTCCAGGATTAAATTAGAGCAGACACAAGAGGCAACATTTGGTACATGTTAGCTACTTTAGTTTTTCATTGATTAAACAAGACAAGTCCTGGAGACCTAAAACTGCTGTAAAAAAAAAAAATGAAACAAAATCTTAAGCAAAACAAGCACAAAATCAAGACATGTCCATGACCACCATTAAAGGAGATTAAAGGAGATTGCAGTTAAAGTGGTCCTTGAACCCAGATTCTCATATAGCAATGTACATGAGTGACACCAACCAAAGAAGAACAGTTTAAAAATAAAGACTTTTGATAGAAATGGTCTAAGGAAAGAGAATAGAGAGGTTTGATGGTTGAATGGATTCCTCCAGAGTTCCCTCCCAATAGAAGCGAAAGAGCAGAACTGAATGACCCAAATAACTGGGTTTTTCCCCCCCCCATTACCCTCAGAACTCAGCCTGCAGAGAGAAGGACTAACATCAGCCAATGCTCATGAAAGCTGGGGAATATGAACATAACTGCCTTTATAACTACAAGTGTGGAGAGAGAAAATGACACTCAGAAAGCAAGACTCAAAATGGGACAACTTCTCTTATTTCTACATTAGTTCTGCTTGCAATTTTTTGTCTCTGAATGCATTCCCTTTTATCTCTTTGTAAGCATTTCAATTTATGTAAGCCCTTCAATTCAAAGAAAATTCTACATGAGTATGACCTCTTTTATTTAGCTTAGTATAGGGGCAAGCAACCTTCATATGCAAAAAATAAGAGCAGATTTATGCAAGTGAATATATATATATCTCACCAAATTTCAATAAATCTCCCAAAGAGGGAATATTTCTATTATTCTTTATTACTAACTAATTCACTCAAAGTGGAGGACTTACTTACATGTCTGGTTATATTACAATTTATTACTCTAATTGTATTTCCTTGATCTAATTACTTGAGTTCTGTTCATCTCGGTGTGCTCAGATGCACAATGATAGAACTGTGTTTGATGCTTCTCAGTATGCATCAGATAATGTCAAATCAGAAATTATTTGATATTAATTCCATTCAAAAGCCATCAGAACCTGAAACCACATCTCACCCAAGAGCTTAATTTTAGCTCAAGCACAAATCTCTAACAGAGCACCTCAACTTCACTGCTAATTTAAAACTATCAATCTGTAAGTTCAAATATTAAGGTGACTTCTCCCTCTCTATATCATCACTTCTAATCAAAGTTTTTAAGTTAAATAAATTTGATAATATAAGTTCCTAAGGAAATCAGTGCCTTGGCAGTGAGAATAAAATAGATAAAAAACTTTTTATAAAACATGAAACTGTTTTATGGACTATAAATTCTCCCACTTCTGTGTAACAAGGAAGTACAAATTTAATGCAAAATAAATTATATAGAAAATGACCTTGTAAGATTATGATTGTAAAACGAGACAGATAAAACATTATTGTTTGTTTCAACTTGTGTAAAATTCAAGCAATAATCAGTGAGGTATTTAAATCTGTACACATCAATCCATTCAAGTTACTTATTGAGATACAAGTACTGAACCACAATTAAAATGCAAGGTCAAGAGAAATTGAGGATGAACTTAACAGGATTTATGGAAAAACTTTGATTATGTATTTGATATCTTCAAATATTTCCAAAGTACACTATGTATTTACCTCATTCTCTTAGCTCACATCTCATACCTCTTCCCTTAGTACATGCTGGGTTCTAACTTATTATCGTGCTCTTCTCCCATAAGATATTGAGCAATTTATTCTCATTGTCCATATGTCATTCATTCTGTATTAAATTTGATGAGCTTCTTGACTGCTCTTGTCATTAGACTGTATTTTTAGATCAGACTATCTTGTTTCATCTTTGGATGTCTGGTGCCTAATGCTGGGTAGGTAAATTCAGCAAATAATAAACAATCCTACACATGACATTATTAAAATCACATAGACTTAGGTAAGAGAAATTGGTTATTGTTATTTTTTGATAATTTTTTTAGTATGGTATATTTATTTCTTGCTTCCATTTCATGAGAAATAAAGACATGCATTTTTCTGGTCACTTATAATAAAATAGTTGAAAAATGGAAGCTTATAGCTGTTTGAGAGGAATTTCGAGATAAGAAAATTCATGAGTTAAAGCAAGGGATGAAAGATTAACTATACAGGTTTTTTAAAAGAAATATTCTTGACTAACTGAGAAACCATAGCAGAATATTAATATTTCATTATTTTGAACTTTGGATAGTGCTTTATAGCATTATATCTTACTAAAGTTTACTAAGATTTCTCTCAATGTTATTGTGTGAGAAAGAAATTCTCATCTTCTTAAAGAAGAATACTGGCACTTAAAATCGTCTTTTAACAAATATCTTATGAAAAAGGTATCCAATGTTACTAGTCATTAGAGAAATGAAAATTAAAACCACAGTAAGAGATTACTTCATACCCATTAGGATTATAATTATTTTAAAAAAAACAGAAAATAATTGTGTTGGCAAGGATATGAAGGAATTGTAATCTACATGCCTTCTGGGTGGGAATGTAAAATGATAGGTACATAATAATGGTTGCTCAAAAAATTAAAAAATATTCATCTTTTGAAAAAAAGATTTAATGTTTGATCAAGCAACTTCACTTCTGGGTATATACCCAAAATAATTAAAAGCAGGATTGCAAAGTGATATCTGCACACCTATAAACAATAGCCAGAAGATGGAAGCAAGCAAGTATACACTGATGGATGAAGGATAACAAAATGTAGTCTATCCATACAAGGAATATTATTCAGCCTTAAGAAA